TATATATATATACTATTGTTTTATGATTATCTATTTTTTAACGATTATCTATTCTTTAACGATTATCTATTCTTTAACGATTATCTATCATCTTTTAATACTATTATGACAAGTGAACAAGACTCCGTTTTCAAAAAAAAATATAAACCTGGTCGTAAACCTAATGATGTTTGGGAATATTTTATTAAAGTTTCTTTAAAATCATCACCTGGCCATTTTTCTGCAGAATGTAAATTTTGTAATAAAAAATGGAATCGGAGTTTTGTTCATATTCTTCAATTTCACCTTGCAAATGAATGTAATACTTGTCCCGAAATTATTCAAACATATTACCTTGGATTTATTACAGCTAAAGATACATCAACTTCAGAAAAAACCACACCAAATAAAAAACGAAAAACAGAAACACAATTAGGAATTGATGATTTTTATGAAAACCGAAATCTACCTGAATCCAAAATAAATACCATTAACAAAGCTCTTATTAAAGCTTTTGTTTGTTGTGGTATCTCATTTGCCATTATCAATAATCCCTTTTTTCGAGAACTTCTTTATCAATTACGACCAAATTATAATCCTCCTTCACGTAAATTACTCGCTGGTCGACTTTTGAATCAAGAAACTACTCATGTAAATCAAGAAATAAATAAGGAACTAGAAAATGCAGAAAATTTAACTCTCGGTAAGTTATTTTATTAAAATAAAAAATCATATAATTTAAATTTTATTTTAAAATTTAGTTTTTTATAGCTTTAGATGGCTGGACGACAGCAAACACTATTTCAATATATAACTTTATTATTTTGACACCTGAACGACATCAATATTTATATTGTCTTCGTGATTTTTCAGCATCACATCATACTGGAGAGTTTCTAGCCAATGAAATAAAAACAATCTTAAATAAGGTTGGACCGAAAAAATTTAAAGCAATTGTTACCGACAATGGAGCAAATGTAAAACTAGCTCGTGAATTAATCGTTAAAGAATATCCTCAAATTTTAAATTTGCGTTGTATTGCTCATTTTATCAATTTAATTACAAAATCAATACTCGGTAAGTAAATACTTGAAAAATAATATTTATTATTATATTTTTATATTAATTTTTATTAATTATTAGAACATAAAAAGGCTACAAATTTACTTTCAATTTGTAATAATATTATAAAATTCTTTAAACAATCACATATCGGTCACCATTTATTAACTGAAGCAGCAACAAATTTAAAAATTGAAGGAGGTGGACTTAAATCATTTATTAAAACAAGATGGACTTCGATGTATGAAGCTACATCTTCAATTATACGAATGCAACATGCATTAGAAGAGGTATAATTTTTATTTATTAATATAATATAATTAATAATAAAATTAAACTTTTTTATTTTTATAATTAAAAGATAGCATTTAATAAATCCGATGAAATTACAAATAAAATTGTAAAACGATATTTGAAAAAGCGTATATTTTATGATGAAGTTACGACTTTATCAAAAATTCTTCAACCAATTAAAACAGCCATTCTGATGGTAGAAGGAGAACAAACCAATCTAGCTGATGCTTTCATTCAAATAATTCGGTTAGGATACACACTTAAAAAATTAATTAATATTAATACCAATATGATCCAGTTCCGACAACATGCCATCCAGGCTTTCAATAAAAGATGGGAAGAATTTGATATATCAATTTATTTATTGGCATATTTTTTACATCCTGTTTATCGTGGTAATATATTTTTTATTATTTTTATTTTATTTAAATAAATTTTAAAATATAATTAATATTATATTATATAATAGGTATAGGATTACAAAAGGGCAAATATTCATTAATTTTAAACATTGCTGGAGAAATATGGCGTTGTCTCGGCAAAGATCAAAAATCATGTGAAATATTATTTGGTCAAATGCGATTATATAAATTGAATATGACACCTTATGATGCAACATATAATTCATCAATCGATACACCTAGAATTTGGTGGCTTGCTACAGATGATAAATATGACTATTTACAACAACTGGCTTTACAAATATTAGGTATTACACCTCATAGTGCTGGATGTGAACGTATATTTTCCACTCTCAGTTGGATTTATGGCAAACGGCGATTACGATTATCTACTACAAAAGTCGAAGCAATGGCTAAAATTCGATCATTTTATATTACAAATATTAATAAGGAAGTAAAATATACAAATCAAAATTATAATGCACAAGAATTAAAAATTATGATAGAAGAATCGATGAATAATATGGAGGAAGAAATTGAAGACAATGATAATGAAAGTAATGAAGA